AAAAAGGGGGGGGGGGGAAAGCAATTCCATTGAATGAGATTTCCTATAGTTTATCGACATTAATAATTAAAATATTGCAAATACTCAGAATAACTAGAATTAACAAGCGCCTGCATGCAGAGGAAAGGCTTCCCCTGCTCTCAGTTCTGCCCAGCATCCTTGCACACAGCAGCATCACTGGCTGCCAAGCTGCTGGAGGCTTTGAGATCAGGAAATCAAATCTGTCCCTTGGAAGATGACAGCTGGCAAATGGGACCTGTTTACTGCCCAGCACCTGTATTTCAGGTCAAATCTTCTTAGTTTCTTCACAGTCTGTCCCAGGTAGAAAATAGGTGAAAAGCCTTGCGTGTTGTGGTACCTTCACCTTGCCCTACATGTGATGGCCCTCATTGTCTTCTCCCTTTATTTTTTCATGTATGCTGTCAGCATATTAGAAAAGACCATTTAGGTGAGCTGTGTTTCAGGGTGACAGAGGCGAGAGAGAATTGGGGAATGGTGGGATGGTGGACACAACCATAGAGGGAGGTCAGCTCCATCTGGGAATGCTGCAGAGGAGAAGGTTGACCCAGGCTGCCATTGAGGGGTCCTCATGGCGGGGCAGGTGCAACCAGGCTCATGGATGCTGCTCCATTACCCGGCCCAACCCTGCTTGCCTGGTGCTTCTGCTCTCATCTCCCAGACTTAGCAGGCAGCAGGCACTCGTCGTCACCGGGATGGCCCTGCCCTGCCTGGTGGTGGCGAGGCGAGGTGATGCTGCTGGCCCTGGGGTGCTCTCCCGGAATAGGAAGAAGAGGCGATGTTGCTGACTTAGGGGAAAAATCAAAGGAAGGTTTTGTCTCCAGAACTTAGGAGGAGAATGTAAATGGAGACCTAATTCTGCAATGCAATTACAGCGGTAATGTGTGATTCCAAGGAAAAGGCTTGAAAAATTAATGTGAAACCTTATTCATTAAAATATAATGAACATGGCACAAAGTTAAGGAACAACAATGAATCCAGCCTATGTTATATTGGCATTTAGTATTCAGGAATTGTAATTGCCTACTACAGTGTGTTTTAAAATAATGTAATTTCATTTGAAATGCTTATTATATAGAGAACATTGGGAAGAACTGAAGCACAGCAAAAATAATAGGATTTTAAACAGTAGACTGACAGTATTTCACTGTTTAATCTTAGAGAAAATATTTCACGAGACTTTTCTTTCCTTTTTTTTTTTTTTTTTTTTTTTTCAATTTTTCCTGGTGTTTCTTGTATTACCAGATACAGAGGAGAAGGAGACTAGATCTGTTTGGGTTTTTTTCCAGAAAGTTTAGGAGGTTTTTCTAGATTTCTAGTTCACTTTTATTTCCTCCCCCTTCAGACAGGGAAAACTGAGTAGAATGAATAGAAAAAGAGCGGAATATTAGGGAGAGCTTTGGCTGTTGAAAGATCCCATGATGCTGCATTTTGACCTTTAATATTTTTTCTAACTTCTTTATATGCATGTTTGCAATCCACAAAAATTTATGTTACATTTAACTACACAACACTACAACACAGCCATATAAAAATACCGCTGCCAGCTTGGAGACTGGGTACAGAAGGGATGAAGCTCACAAGTGGAGGTGGCTGGTGTTTTGCTGGATGAAGGAGGACCCTCTTTCTCTTGGATGTGAACATAGGTGGTGACAAGGAAGAGCAGAGCCTTAGGGGTGGGCTAAGCACCAATCCTGACACCAAGAGATATTCCTCCCTCGCTCACTTGGGGTGAAGACTGTAAGGTGTTAGTGTCTGGCCGAGTTGGGACAACCACCCCACGCTGAGGTGCATGTGTAGGGCTGCAGAAGGGCTGTGTGTCTCGAGCCACACAGAGGAACAAACTGTGGCTTAGGACATCATCCAAACCATGTCTTTACATATGTCTTCAGGTTAGAGCAGAAAACTGTTTGGGGCTTGCTTTGAGTCCAAAGATGACTAGTCCACTATGGCTTTCCTGGGTGAGAAGTTTGCCACCCAGTCTTGTGCAAACCACGGTAACCGGTGGTGGTGGTGTTACTCTGAGCATTGATCAGAACGAGTAGGCATTTTTATTTTAAACTAGGATAATCTGAAGATGTGGGTGCGACTCTTAACACTGCTGATCTCACAGCTTTTTAGCCTTTGAATGGTGTTGAACTTAGAACAGCTCCCAGATGCGATGTTCAGGCCAGTCTTTGCTCCACATCACCACTCAGGTCTCAGCAAGGTTTTCCTTTTTGCCACTGGAGAAATGCCACCCTTCCCCATCATCCTCTCCTTGCCTTCACAGTGCTGAATGTATGTATTTCCAAAATAACAGCCTCCTAGTAGATCTTTGCACACTTTTAGGGATGAAAGAAATTATTACTGCTCAATTGTAAGTAGGAATATGATTGCACATACCAATGCTGTTTTTCATTTCTTCTCACAGCCCCAGCCGAGGAGATGATG